AAAGTATGACATGCTAATATTCATAGTAATATTATCAACAAAGCCTACCTCCTCAATAAATTGGTCAACATCCATTGGTTCTTTACACTTAGTATTATTATCAAGAGATCCTACAATATTAATTTTCTCTTCTTCACAACACTAATAATACGAACTACTTTATTTTTGGTAGAAGGAATTGGGGATTTTGACTCGATAGCAAGCCGATTATTATAGGTGGCTTGTTTTTTATTGATTTGAGTTGGTGGTGGCTACTTAATACCTTATTTTTGTCCTCTTGGATTGTGATTAAATCAAGAGATGTGCTTATTCTTTTTTATAAATTTAATGGGTCTTTCCTCTAGTTGTGTTCTCCACCTATTTGCTCAAGATCTCGCCTTGTTATTTAATCAGATTTGATGTTGTTAATTACTTATTTATCTTCTTCTAAACTATGTATGACTCATTTAGAGTGTGTTCTTTCAATGGCTCTTCCCCCATGTTGTGTATTTGATTTGGTATTGATTGTGGTTTGGAGATGCTTATTATTGTATGTGCTTCTACCGACTATTTGCCAATGATTTCCTTTTAACTTATTTTTCTTTTTATTGATTGTATTTTTTGCTCAACAATTCTTGTTCTACCACTCAAGGCCGCTTTAATCTCTTTGAGCTTATTAAATATTGAAGATTCAAATTCTACTGATCTCCACCAAAGATACTTTATTAACTCAAAATTTTCTTTATGTAGTGGACTATGTATATAACTATCTGGAGAAAGCAGCCCTTATTATAATAATGGGGCAGTAATAAAAGGTAAACAACCTAAATGTTGGGGGGGGGGGGGGGGGGTTTGGGGGGTTAAAGGTAGGCATGAAGAATAATGAATATTGGATTCATCAGCTTATAAAGTTGACTCTTACATAGTTACATGCCTAAAAGAATGAAAATTTAACTAAAATGGAAGACGTTAATATTGAAGCTATGTTTATAATTACTTGAAGAAAATTACTATAGTATTTTATACTTGATCATGATGCAACCCTTAAAAAAATCACTCTGCACATTTCTTCCCATGCAACAAACTTGGACCACTGCATAATACAAAGTCTTAAGTATTGCATGATAGGTATCTGAAAATCTGTGTGCTAAAAAAACCAAACATGCATTACATGAAAAATAGGATTAATATAGTACAATCATATATAATGCCAAACAACATAATATAAAAAATATCTCACTATTAATTGAGTGACATAGTCTCTCATTTAGCCAATAGCCCAAAAAATTTTTCGTAATCTAACTTTTCTATTAGTGTTAAAATAATTTATTAGAAATCTCAATATACCATTTAACCAATTATAACTTACAAATCCAATTACTTTCTAGTGAAAAAAGAAAATATTTATGAAAGTTATGGTATGAAAGCAAATATTTTATGAATTTGTAAACAAATTTATCGTGATTGTGTAGATGTTATATTTTTTTTCATTTTTTTTAAATCAATAGAAGTTAAACACGACCGTGGCTTCCTATCTCAAATCACTTCTTCTTTATTAAACAACCAAACTATTAGAGTGATTTCATCTATAATGAACCTCTACTCATGTCCACAAAATTAAAAACACACCTCTTAACATTCCAATATTCTATAGCTAATTTGTTAGTGGTACATCCTATTAAAGAGACAAAAATGTTAGAACAAGATGAATATGGAACTTCCTTGAAATCTATGCAACTTCTTCAGTGATGTGCTTGACCAATTCATCACATATTGCTTTGAATATTGATATCCTACACTTGAAAGTAATCTTTATTTTGACCATTTTTTAACAAACCGATCAATAAGCTGAAAAGAAGTAAATAATTTTTTAAGTACATAATAAGCTTGTCACGTCAAATAATAAAACTATATCAACATGTAGTAATATATAAATAATAACAATATAACATGTTTATACGGCCCATCTTATGTCAAAAAATGAAGTATAATATGATTGTACTTAATAAAATTTAGAGTACAACCATATTATTTTGAAGAAAAAAATAACCAAAATATTATAACTTATCTTAAAACATACTTAGAAAATTTGGAGTACAACCACGTTGCACCAAAAAAAAAGTCTAAAATATTCTATCTTATGTCAAAATATGGAGTACCAACATTGTTGTAATCAAGAAAATTAAAGTATAATCATGTTGTTCTGAAAAAATACAAAATAAAATATCTTATTTCATGATATAGAGTACAACATAACTATACTTAAGAAAATTTGAATTTGAATATGTTGTATTGAAGAAAAAATATTCAAAATATTATATCTTATGTCATGATATGGAGTACAACATGATCACACTCAAGAAAACTAGAGTACAATAATGTTGTACTAAAAAAAATATCTAATTTTATGATAAAAAATGGTTGTAGGAGAAAAAATCATCTGAAATAAATTATCTTAAGTAAAAATATGAAGTATAACATGGTTGTACTCAAGAAAACCGGAATACAAAAATATTACACTAAAGAAAAAAACAACCAAAATACCTTATCCTATAGTAAATTATGGAGTGCAATATGATTGTACTTGATAAAAATTAAGGTATAACCATGTTATACTGACGAAAAAAATCATGTTATACTGAAGAAAAAAACTAAAATGCTTTACTCTATGATAAAATATAGAGTACAATATGGTTGTACTCGAGAAAAAACTAGAGTACAATAATTTTTTTTTGAAGAAAAAAGTACTAAACATAACCTATCGTTTATCAAGATTTGGAGTATAACATAGTTATACTCAAGAAAACTATAATACAATTATATTGTATTGAAGAAGAAACATTCAAAATATAACATTTTATGTTGAAATATGAAGTACAACATGATTGTACTCAATAAAACTAGAATACAACCATATTATACTGAAAAAAAATCTTCTAAAGTATTATATCCTATGATCAAATATGAAGCACAATATACTACATGGTTGTACTCAAGAAAAGGTATAGTACAATCATGTTTTACTAAGAAAAAAAAAAACATCCCAAATTTGAAGTATACTAACATCTAAAAAAGTATATCCTTTGTTAAAATATCAAGTATAATATGGTTGTAGTTAAGAAAAACTAGAGTATCATAATGTTTTGTTGACTAAAAAAATTTCATAATTATCCTAAATTATTTTATAATATTGTGTACAACTTGGTTGCACTCTAGAAAATTAGCGTAAATGTCCAAAATACTCTAACTTATAGTAAAATATAAAGTAAACTATCATTATACTCAAGAAAAACTAGAGTACAATATTGTATTGAAGAAAATGTATCCAAATGATCCTATTTTATATTTAAATATTGAGGACAATGTGGTTGTACTCAAGAAAGTTGGAGTACAATCATATTTTACTGAAAAAAAAAATATTTTCAATATCCTATCCTATGGTAAAATATAGGTATATGCATGTACTCAAGAAAACCTGTAGAACAATAATATTGTAATAAAGAAAAAAGTATCCAAAAGACCCATCATATGTTAAAAATATGGAGTACAATATGGTGATACTTAAGAAAACTCGTGTATAACCATATTGTACTAAACAAAGTAACTAAAATAACCTATCTTATGAAAATTTGGAGTACAACATAGTTGTACTCAAGGAAAAGTGGAATACAACCATGTTGTACTTAAGAAAAATGTATTCCAAATACCCAATCTTAAATCACAGTATGGAGTACATTATAGTTGTATTAAAAAAAATTAAATTACAACCAAGTTATATTGAAAAAATTTCCAAAATATCACATCTTATGTCAAAATATGGATTACAAGATGGTTATACTAAAAAATATTGGAGTACAACAAGTTGTAGTACACAACAAAGCCTTAATCCCACTACGTGGGGTCGGCTACATGAATCTTTTTTATCCATTGCTTCCCATTTAGTGTCATATTTTCATTTAGTTCTAGTAAATTAAGATCATTTTTTATAAAATTAGCCCAAGTCTTCTGAGGTCTACCGCTGCCTTTCTTAACACAAGTCGAATCTAAAACATTTACACTCCTAATCGGATCATCAGATGGTCGACGTTTAATATGAACAAACCATCTAAGACGACTTTCTTTAATTTTGTTCGTCATAGGAGCTACACCAACCCTATTACGGATATATTCATTTCGCATTTTGTCTCTAAGTGTAAAGCCACTCATCCGCCTAATCATTCTCATCTCGACAACACTCAACTTACAACTTTGCTTCTCTTTTAAAGGCCAACATTCA